AGGAGAGGAGAGGAGAGGAGAGGAGAGGAGAGGAGAAGAGAAGAGAAGAGAAGAGAAGAGAAGAGAAGAGAAGAGAAGAGAAGAGAAGAGAAGAGAAGGCTTCAATACGGAAGGGACAGTTACACCCATAGGAACGTGTGCATGTCATGTCGTTATCAGGCCCAGAGGCCCAGATCACCTCACAGGCTAAAGGACCCCAGTGATGACATCCTGGAACCCTGTGTACCTTAAAGCTAAGAGCTTAAAGCTAAGCCACCTCTCTGCTCATCAGATGTTATAAAGTGTCTGTCAAAAGTGTGAGGTTCATTGTTAGGTAAGGATATGTATGAGATACAGGGAAGAAGGCCCTTTAGGGAAAAGAAAAGAGAAGAGAGGGGAATACAGCCCAATACCAGGCTGGGAAGGAAGTCTACCCAGCACAGAGCATCCACCTGCTGCACCCTGGAGCTTGGCCTGGACAGGCCAGCAGAGGGGACCAAAGTGCAGCTGTGCTTCCCATACAGGCCGTTTCCAGGCCAGGCACTGGGGACAGAAAACCTTTGAAAGTGACCTAAAAGGGGAGGATACTATTTGTGGATCTCTGTGTCCCTGCCCCTTGTCCCTCTGAACTTGGGTCCCCAGGGAAGTCTTCAGAGGTCAACATCTTTCCAGAGCAGTTGGCCTGGGCCATTGGAGAGGGTAGGAGAGAGGCAGATTTCATCCAGGGGTTCTGGTCCCGTGTGGACAACAGGACAGGGCAGAACACATGCAGCCAATCTAGCAGTGGTCAGGGTCACTGTATTTAGTAGGAAAGGACCTAGAGTAGTGGTGGGGGCCTGCACAGAACTGGGGAGGAAGAAAGTCAGGGTTAGGGTGCATAGCAGGGAAGGGAAGAGGGAAAGAGGCATGTTGGGGCTACCCCAGGCTGGAATTCCCTTGCCCTCCCTACAGAAGAAAGTTCCTTTCTTAGCCCGGGCCAGAGGAGTAGTGACCAGTCCCTCCATGTTCTGTGTTGGTGCCTGGCCACGAACCTTCATGGCTCTACGCCTGCTTTCCTACTTCCCTGGCTGGTTCTTTGCCCGGGGTTTAGCCCTTGTTACTTGGCCCTGACAAAATAGGCCCCTGCACCAGGTGACCTCTAAAGGCCCTTCTTTGTTTAAATTCTGTGATCGCAGCCCAACATGACCTTCAGAGCAGTTATGAGCCACACTTCCTGTCAGGGGCCAGTGAGCAAACACTATTCGTGTGTTTTGAGATAGAGGGTGTCACAGGAAATGCCTGCAACCTCAGACAAGGGGCAAGTAAACGGAAGTGGCTTGTTCTAATATACCTTTTCATGTCCTTTCCAGGTATCACAAATAATTCTTTCAATTTGTTTTTCTTTAAATTGTGGCCAAGTATGTATTGACCAGGTTAGGTTAGTAGGACGCTTGCCTAACATGCCATCCCCAGCACTGGATAACAAGGTGTGCTGACACACATCTGTAATCCCAGCATTTAGAAGGCAGAGACAGGAGGATTGAGAGTTCACGGTCATCCTCAGCTATATAGCAAACTGGATGCCAAACTGGGATAATAGAAACGTTGTCTCAAAAAAAAAATTACAAACCATAAAATTAGCTGCCATGGGGCTGGAGAGATGGCTCAGAGGTTAAGAGCATTGCCTGCTCTTCCAAAGGTCCTGAGTTCAATTCCCAGCAACCACATGGTGGCTCACAACCATCTGTAATGGGGTCTGGTGCCCTCTTCTGGCCTGCAGGCATACACACAGACAGAATATTGTATACATAATAAATAAATAAATATTTTTTTTAAAAATTAGCTGCCATGCCCGGCAGTGGTGGTGCACGTCTTTAATCCCAACACTCCGGAGGTAGAGACAGGCAGATCTCTGTGAGGTTCAAGGCCAGCCTGGTCTATAAGACCTAGGACAGGCTCCAAAGCTACAGAGAAACCCTGTCTCAAAAAAGAAAAAAATTAGCAAAAAAAAAAAATTAGCTGCCACGGTTTTTTTATATATATATAAGTGATGCTGAACACACCCACATCTGTGTAGCCATGAAACCATGACCTGCTTCCTCTTCTGCAGGCCTTCAGTTGTAAGGACTGTCTTCTGAGCCAAACTTCCACCATCTTCAGGAATTAGGTTTGATCTTCTTCCCAAAAGTCATGGAGCCTTCACCCGAGTACCCAACCACTCCTTCCAATCGATTGTGTGCAATTCTGCCATATTTTCAGCTCTTGGAGAGAGGCTGGTCAGGAAGGCTAAGGGAGGGGGCCCTTACAGCCACAGCCAGGTGGAGGTCAGG